GGACCTTTGCCCAGTGAACTTTGGTGGTTGCTCCACAGTGAATGAAATCCTTGACTTGGATTTTTCCCTTCATTTATCACGATGTCGTTTAGTGGAGTAGTTGTGCGGACTTTGTTTTCCTCGTGGTCAGGTGTCATCCATAAGGAAGGCTACTATCTTTCACTTTTCATCGAACACTTCAAGTCTTCTTTAGCTTCAGCAAGTAAAATTCTGTCAACTGCCTGTCACAGCTGTTTATGAGTCTTCCTCCAATCCTAATGCCACATTCTTCACATAGTAGTTTCCTGGATTATTTGCTCATTATGCAGACTGAATAAGATGCAATGATACAACCCTGACAAACAGCTCTTTTTCAAATTTAAACCTCTGCAGTGTCCCCTTGCTCTGTTACAACGTCTGCTTCCGGGTCCCTGTAGGGGGAGGAGTACAATTCAATGTTGTGGGCTTCCCCATTCTTTACAATGATGGCCACACTTTGCTTCGGTTCACACAACCAAAGAGCTTTATGTAGTTGATAAACCGTAGGTTTATCATCTTTCTGGTATGCTCTGCCATCCATCTTGGATAAAGTCAGAATTTCATAAAGGTCATGCTAACTTAAACCCTTAGAAAGCACACAGCGAGACGTCAGCGACAGCGGCCTTCCGCTAGGGGGCACCCGACTGCCCATCGAGCTTCCACTCGCACTGCGCAGCCTCCCTCTAGAAGTGGGAGGGAATCCTCGCCCGGGCGCGTGGTGACGTCAGGAGGGCGCGGCCCGTGGGGGAGTGGGCGGGGCCTTCACCCTCAGCCAGGGGCGGGGCCAGCGCGGGCGCCTTTTCACGGCCCAAGGAGGTTGGGAGTGGGAGGTGGCGGCTGAGCCCGGTAGTGCCTTGGAAGATGGCGCCGCCGGTGACGGAACGGGGGCTGAAGAGCGTCGTGTGGCAGAGTGAGTGCCGTGGGGTCGGGGCTGAGAGAGGGGAAGCCCAGAAGCCGCCGCGCCGGGCCTTGCTTTCCTGCCCTGGCCCTGCAGGCTCTGCAGGAGTCGCGGGGACACTTGTTGCTTTGGACCCGCGCCCCTGTTAGGCGTTCTTCCTGCTTGCCTTCCCAGCCGGGCTTGCTGGCCCCTGAGGTGGGCGAGGCGCGAGAGGACGCGGCCTTCTCCCCGGGGTCGCGCACCCCCTGCTCTCGGCCCGGCCCCTCCTGGGGTGCGCTGGCCCGCAGCCCCGCCTGTGAGCCGCCCCCGGCCTGCCTCTCCCTCCGCGGCCCCTGTCCGTGCCCTTGGCCGCGCTCCCCGCCCTCCTCGGCGGCCGAGGAGCAACTTCGCCGGGCGCCCCACCCTGCCCCGCCAGTCGGGGATGTCTCTCCCCCGCAGACAATCCCGGGCGCTGTTTCTGCGTCGCGCCCTCTTCCACCCCACCCCAGCCCCCGCTCGGTTTTCCAAAGGCTGCTTGTTCTGCGTCTTCGGGTTGGCGGCCAGGCGACTTGTACAACCATTGTTTTCCGTATCTGTGAATCTCTTTTTTACAAACCGCACTGTGAAGCAGACCCATCTTGCACGCTTGCTGGGAACACCTACTTCCTAAAGAGTTCTTGAGAAAGGCCCCCTGGCATGGCATTGCGAAGGTTGCACCTCGTCTGGACAGCTCTCCGCGTGGACGGGGCAAAGCGGCACCTTCCTGTCTCCCTTTGCACTCTCGGGGCACTCCCTCCACCAAGAGCTGAACTGCTTATTCGTTACTGTTTCTGCCCCATCATCCGTGGGTTTCGTAAAAGGTCGCGCCAAACCTCGGTCTGGCAGGTTAGCAGAGGAACGAAACCTCCGAACAGGAAAAGCAGGCATTGTTTGGCTTTGCTGGCCTCCCAGTAATTGTGGGCTGCTGTGAGAAGCCAGTCTTCGCTAATTAGTATTTTTGACTCCAGCCTGTTGCGTGAAGAACAGAACTGAGTGGGTTAACAAAAGGCTAGGGGTTACACAGTTCCCCTGTAAAGTTAAAATTCCCAATAAGTAACCGGCAGAGCGCATATCATCCTGGTGTGTTGTTGTGAGGAGCCATGGCGTTGGCTCCCACGCCGCAATTCTGTGGGCGTCAGAACGAAACACACTTGCTCACAATTGTTCTCTCGGAGCTCGTTGTTGCAACCACTGTGTCATGCCCTCTCATTGATGGTCTACATCGCCCAGCCCGGTATTGTTTTCTGGGGACTAGCGTGCCTTGATCACACGTCCATGTTCAAGGTACATTTGGACAAAGTCTCCCCACCCTCACTTCTAAGAAGCATCCCAGCTGTACTTTCCTCAAGACAGATTTGATTGACTGTGTTAGCAGTCCGTGATACTTTTCATTTTTCTTCGACAACACCATCATTCAAATGCATCAGTTCTTGCTCCTCCTCATTCATTGGCTAGCTGTCACATGCATATGAGGTGATTATTGAAATAAACCTGGCATGAGTCACACAAGTTCGGAGAGGGAAGCTGATATTCCTCGGACATTTATTCTTGTCCAGGCACTGTTGTGTTCTTGACTCTTCAGTTACATTTACAAGAAAACAATTGCGAGAATGAATATCCTTCCCCCCCCACACACACACACACAAATCTTCAAGCTAATACAGATATTAGCATGGCAAAGTTCTTAATAGCCAAGAAGTGGAAAATCCCCAAATGCCCATCGACTCATGAATGGGTAAATAAAATGTGGTATTCCATACAATGGGATATTATTTGGCAATAAGAATAAGTCAAGTGCTGATACATGTAACACCAATGAACCTTGGAAACATTATGCTACGTGAAGAACCAGTCACAGGCTGCTGTATAGAAGCAGAAGATAGAGTCTAAACTGTGCAGGTCTGGGAAGGATTAGGGAAAGGGAGAGGTGGAGGTTGATGCCTGAGAGGAACAGGGCTTCTTTTGGGGGTAATGAAAATGTTCCAAAATTGGTTGTGATGATGGATGCACAACGTGAATATATGAAATGCCTCTGAGTTAAACTGTTTAAAGAGTGAATCCTATGATATGTGAATTATATCTCAACAAAGCCATGTGGGGGAAAATGTACAGTTATGAAATAGGATTCTTTCTGACTGCAGAGCTAATGTCTGACCTGTGCTCCTTTTCCATAATGTGTGACCTGTCCGGACCTTGCATTGTGCCTCACCAATGCAGTCACCTCCTACCTGAAACCAACTCCTGTTCTCTCGCGGCAGTCCATCCAGCAGGTAGCTTTCCTGCTGCTGTTAGGGCTGGTCCTCTGTTTGAAGGCCTGCAGAAATCCCTAGTTATTTAAGATCATTTCAAGCACTCTAACTCAGAGCCATCAAGTCAGCGCTGACTCATAGCAACCTCCTGTGGGTTTCTGAAACTGTAACTATTAATGGAAGTAGAAAGCCCAGTCTTTCTCCTGAGGTTCTCTGGTGGTTTTGAACTGCCGACCATGCAGCTCAAAACCCAAAGCTTAACTGCTACACCACCAGGGCTCCTCTGTCTGCTTTTAAAAGCCAAAAGAACCTGTCTCTGAAAGTTCACAGGTTCAAACCCTCCACAGCTCCTTGAGGGAAAAAACCTGGCCTTTTCCTCCTCTATAGACGACAGCCTAGGAAACCCTGTGGGGCGGAGTCGGGAGTCACCTGATGGCAGTGGGATCCGTGGTTGCTTGCTTTATAGGGTCACTGTGCCTCAGAATCAACTCAATAGCTTACATCAGGCCTCTTTTGCTATTCTAAGCACTTTCCCTCAGTATAATCCCGATTTTCCATCTAGTCTAAACTATTTATTGCCCTCCAAATCTTACAGCCTCACATACTGATGCTGTTTCCTCCGTCTTGAATACTCACTCCCTTTCCCTGGCTTTTCCCCCTGGTCACGTTTTAGGCAGCCAAGCCTCAGCTCTAACAGGGCTGCCACTGCCATAGTGGCTTCTCATTTGAATGCAACTTCTTGTGTTTCTGTAACATTTTGCTTATCCTTCTCACTTGGCACATCTCACTGCTACTTAATGTGAGCCTCGTGGTCCGCTTCATGAAGGTAGGCTGATTGTGCCTTGTAACGCTATAAATTGATAACAAGCCCTGGTAGAATGCCTTGGGTACCAATTCTTGTTTAAAATGACTACTCCACCCACCCCCACTTTTACTACCCAGAGTCCCCCACTCTTTAAAAATTGATTACTGAATTCCGAGGGAAGCTGGCCGGAGAAGGCAAAGGGGTTCCCAGCCCTCTTGAAAACACATAAACAAAGGCGGAGTATGGTCATTTCAGTTTAGGACACATGGAGAGACGCGGCTCTGGGTAGGGGGATCAGGAAAGTTACTCTGAGTAGGTGACATTTGACTTGTCAGCTAAAGTAGGGGACGTAATCAGTCTTTAGAGGCTGCCTGAACCCCCTTAACAAAGCAAAACCAAAAAGCCCTAATTGGTTTGGAATGTGAAGGGACTATTCCTCTGCTTGAAATCAGTGGTTTCTACTACTTTAATATGCTCATTTGGCAATACTTTTGCTACCGGGGGAATGATATCACTGATAAAGTGTTATAATAAAGATTTAATAAAGTTTATTTATAAAAATAGACACATGAAACACAATAGTAATTAAATCAAGCATGTATTGACAATGAGGGTTTTTATGGTTTTTTTCCCCATGTTCATGATACTATTCTAAGCCCAAACCAAACTCACTGCCATTGAGTCAATGCTGATACTAGAACAGGGTGCTGCGTCTGAGTCTCTGAGACTTTAAAAATCTTTTTAGGAGTAGGAAGCCTCAGCCTTCTCCTGGGGAGCAGGGTGGTGATTTAGAACTGCTGACCTTGAGGTTACTTCAGTGCATAGACCACTATTCCACTATTCCATCAGAGCTGTTCTCGACTGTCTGTTTTATTAAACAGCTGTTTAATGGCTGTAACTCAGATGTTGATTTTTTTTTTTAAGGGAAACTTAAAGAAAGTGAACCCTGGGAAGTTTTAAATGCTTTTAAGTAGGAATAATCAGAATGTGTCTATTTAAGCTAGCTCTTTATTTATTGAATCATAAGCTTTGCCCCCCTTTCATACTTCCTTTCAGCCCTTATCCAGATGCAGACATAACTTTTGTTGTCATTCGATGACTCTGAATAACACTAAACAATGACGCAGCATTTTCTGTAGTCCTTTAGAGTCTTTGTCAAACCCCCGCCCTTTTTAGAAACGTTTTAACTACCTTGATGTAAAAACTGTTGAAGAACAATTCCTTGTATTTGAGTACAGGGACAGTTATTTCAAGGAGTCAACAGCAACCACAGAACCCACTGCCTTCCAGTCTGCTCTCACTCACCGCCACCCACAGAGCAGAGCAGAGCCGCCCACAGGGCTTCCGAGCTACAGACAGACAGTGGGTTCCAGCCATTGACCCCACCGCAGCTGAGTGCTTATCCACTACGCCACTGGGCAGAGTGGGGGGAGGGGTGCCTAAAACTATTGTAAAGTGGGTTGGACTCTGATCATGACAGGTTCTGGATGCTCTGGCCAAAAGTTGAGACATTCTCTAGGCAGTAGGAACCATTAAAGATGAAAGATTTTCTCCCCTCCTTGAATTGCAGAGACTAACACTTTTGATACTATTAAACAATGCTGAAAAGGAAGTCATTTTCTTGTTCCTACTCTGAAGGGAAGTGATTCTGAAAAGTTCCCCTGTGGAGTGTAATGTAGCATAACGTTTAAGTGTACAGCTAGATGAAATTTCTACCATGTAACCACCACCCGGTTCAAGCACCATCCCACTCCCAGAGGAACCTCTATTACAACTTACATCTCAAGCAACTCATTTTGTGTTAGTGGCTTTTTACCTTTATACCCTTATTTTTTTAATTTTTTAAAACAGTTTTATTGGCACTTCATCCACATGTCATACAATTCAATGGTTCAATCATATCAAGAAGAGTTAACTTTATTCTTTTAGCTGTGTATTTTTAAAAATCATTTTATTGGGGGCTCATACAACTC